AATCTGGTCCACGGCTGTAGAAGTGTGCCACTGAGGAGAGGGTCTCCTGCTGTATTCGTTGACATAGCTACTATACGTGTTAAGATTTTAAAAACTATGATGAAGTGATTAACTCTCCATCAATTTTCTGTGGAGTGAGAACACAGTGCAGCAGGGTGCTCCAACGGGAATGAGGAAAATGCACCACAGAACAACCACCCTTGTCCCAATCCTGGCTGCAGTAAGTCCTCCTTCAACTAAGTCAATACAAAGTCCGACTACCGAATCCAGGTTCACCGGTGCTACCTTCCTTAAAGACACAACGCACGCTTATGTGCAAGGTGCATCGTTGACATGTGCCTACTCCGCCTAGAAACAATATGCGGCGTAGACGTGCTGCGCGCTGCTACCATATTCCGGTCTGCGCGCAATACGTGTTGCGCGTGACGCTCCTGGAACTTTGCGAGGGCTTGTAGTTTGCGCTTTCGAATACGATCGAACGCAAACTCCTGACGCGGATGCGGATTAAGGCGTGCTCATGCTGATTCTGAGCCAGATGATGACGAGAGCTAGAACTTAAGACCAACTATACTGCTTCTGCTATCTCCATTGAAAGTCGCGCATTCCCACCAAACGTGATACTGAAAACAGTCTAAGCGTCCCCTTCGTTAAATTCGAAGATTAATTGGATCTGGAGCCAGAATCGCGTCGAACTGGAAAGACCTACAAAATAAGGTGAATGGTAAACAACAATTTATTTTCATTTGCTTACATTTTTATTATTTTACTCACATTAACATCAGGTGCTCATCAATACTAACCCTCGTCATTACCTGTCATCATCTGATTCAGAGTCTTGCAGCATGAGCAACGCCTCAATTGTCCTCCGCATCAGAAGTTCGCCTTCCAGTTGTATTTTAAAAGGCAAAATTTGGAGAGCAGGAGCACCGCGCGCGACACGCATTGCGCGGACGCCGGTCGCTGCAGGTTTTGCACAATGTCAGGGAAGCCGCGCACGATATGCGTTACACAGACGGCCGGTCAGTATAGATGCGATCCCATACGACCCCCATCATGAAAACTTGCTTCCTTGTCCAGCGTGTTACTTTGTTTTTACTCATCGTACGTTTTTTTTTACCGTGAAATAACAAACTTCATATCCAGATCTCCAAATCTCGGAAATAATCGCAGAAATGAAGGTTTATCTTATTATTTTAAGGTCAGAACTATGATGGTAAAAGAACTGAATTTGTACAACCCACAACCCAAACAGACATCATGATGTGAGAAAAGCAGCGACAGAGCATGTTAAACGGCGAGGGAAAGTTAGTGAAACCATACTGACCGGCACACCCGAAGGTGACCTTCAAGCCCTGAAAAAACGAGTATTTCGCATAATTTGCCTTTATTTGGGTTCAGGCATGTGTTCATTGAACTACAGCAGCAGAATTACTGATTGCTTCATGTACTCGGTTCCGCCAGGAATACCTATAGTTTCGGCGAAATTCACGATGAGGTGAGAATTGTTCGCCCATTTGAAACTGAGCGACTTGAATTTTGCAGACGACGGAGAAGGCGGAGATCGCCTATGCTCAGCGCAGCACTGTATGAACTTTGGCGAGGAGGCACGAAAGGTCTTCTCGGTCGAGGGACTATTGATGGTGAAGACATGGATGAAATCACAGATATCCGAGTAGAAGTCATTCGAAATGCTGCGCACTGGTTCAATGGTGAAGCGATTTCTGATGCCGCAGTCGACCGATGGGTAAAGGTTTGTGGGCTTTCCACACTTTCCCCTGTGGAACATTCAGACTCTTTGTTGAATCCAGGTGGAAGTGCTTTCAAACGGACACCCATCCTCCTATTTTGATTTTTTTGACGAAGCACCAGAGTTGGATCTTGTCTATCATGAAGGTCCACCCAAGACAAAATGTGATCCATCGGTCGAATGCTGCCTTGTTCAACACTATGTGAACTTCACTGAGATCGGTTGAGTTCCTAGCAATACCCGAGGACTTGTGCTTTATCAGTCAAAAATTAATTTTGAGGATGGCACAAATTCATTCAATATCCAGCTGGTTTTTACGCCAACTATTGTGTGGGTCCTCTCCACATAAGATGTTCTCATGAAAATCCGGAAGTAGAATACATACTCAGGTACGAAAAATCTGTGTTGAAAGTTATTTGGCATGGCTACATAGCTTATCTAGTCAGCCAGATATTCTGGAAAGCATGCCCTTTTTTGCGAAATTTTGAGCGGAAGATCATTCGATATCATAGAGGTGATAGATTTCGTATTGACGATGGATTTCAGTCAAATGCACCATCGCTATGAACATAGCTCCATAGCAAACGGCTGCGTTTGACGACATTCACAGAGCTGTTCAGAACATGCATAGCGAAGTGCAACCTTAGAGCGCGTTCAGACTTCGCGATCGCGCGATCCAGATCGCGCGATCGCTGTGATCGCGCGATCGCGCTACTGTGGGTGAAATTACACCGGGA